ATCTGTGCACCAATAGCTCACCACCGCCCTCCTGTAGCTCCCCCTGGCCCCTCCCTTATAGCTTGCTGCCCTGCCCCCTCCTGTAGCTTGTAACCAGTAGCTCACTGCTGCCCTCCTGTAGCTCCCTCTGCCCCCCCATTCTCCCACTTGTAGCTTGCTACCCCACCCTCCTGCTGATCCGTGATCCTGTTGTTATGTGGTCGGTCATTACGCTTCACGGTGTAATGAACATTTGCATATTACATCATTATTATATAGGACAGCCAAAAGTGTAAACAACTTAAGTGTATATAAACAGATGACTGGATAAGCAAAATGTGACATATACATGCAATAAATGTTATTCAGCCTTAAATGGGGATGAAATTCTGATAGATGCTTCAACATGAGAGTGAAATAAGCCAGACTCAAAGGAATAAATACTGTATGATTCCATTTATATGAATGATTTAGAAGAGGCAAATGCATAGATTTAGAAAGTAGAACAGAGGTTACCAGGAGCTGGGAGAGGAGCAATGGGGAGTTAATGTTGATGAGACAGAGTTTCTGCTGGAATGTTGAAAAAGTTCTGGAGATGGATAATGATGATGGTTGTACAACATTGTAAATGTACTAATGCCACTGAACTGTATATCTAAACATGGTAAAATGATAAATTTTGTCATATATATTCATTACAACTTTAAAAGAAGAAATGTAAGATGAGAACTTTTCCTGGAGGAGGTGATTCCCATTGTAGGTGTTCTCTCATTTCTAATCTTTTCCACTGCTTTCAAGAGACTTCTTTGTGGAATGCCCCCTTTCTTCAGTCTCCAGCAGTGCAAATTGCCACTCACTTTGGGGAAACTTCACGCCCTCTCTACTCACCTTGCTGCTGCATAATCTACTTCCCACCCTGTCAGTCAGCGATGCTGCATAACAAAAATCCCAGTGGCATATAGCAACAGATGCCACTTCTCTCTTAGTGTTTGCAAGGGAGCAAGAGTTTGATTGATCAACCATAATATTGACAGTGATACAGTCAAGGGAAGAACATTTCTATTATCTAAGGTTCCTCATGGTGCTCTATTATGGTCACACACACTTCTTTCCCACTCTCACCCTTTCCTTAACCCCTGACAACCGCTAATATGTTCCCTATTTCTATGATTATGTCATTTCAATAACATCATATAAATGTAAGCATGAAGCATGAAACCTTTTGGGATTGGCTTTTTTTTCATTCAGCATACTTCTTTGGAGATTAATCTAGACTGATGCATGTGCCAATAATTTGTTCAGCATCTTGGATCTATAAATTTATGTCTCTTGCTGAATTTGGGAAGTTTTCAGCTCCACCCTCTTTCTTTTCTCTTTATCAACTTGTGAGCATTAGTGTAGTGTTCACAAGAAGGTATAAAACCTGGTCCTTCACTGTTGGAAGGTTTGCTTCTGAAATGGAGAGATTCCTGGGTGAACAACCTTGGTCACATCCTCTAATCACGATGGACCTTGGTTTCCTTTTGTGTTTTTTTTTCATAGGGCAGTTTTTATTTTAAGTTTATTATTTATAACAATTGACATTCAATATTATTTTATCTTAGTTTCAAGTGGATAGAATAATGATTAAACATTTATATAATTTATGAAGTGATCCCCCCTTAAGTCTAGTACCCACCTGGCACCATCCATAGTTATTACAGTATTATTAACTATATTTCCTATACTATACTTTACATACAGTGACTGTTTTATAACTACCAATTTGTATTTCTTAATCCCTTCAAATTTTTCACCCAGTCCCCATACTTCCCTCGCATCTGGCAGCTATCAGTTTGTTCTCTGCATCCATAAATCTGTCTCTGTTTTGTTTGTTCATTTATTTTGTTCTTTATATTCCATATATAAGTGAAATCATATGGTATTTGTCTTTTTCTGTCTTAATTCACTCAGCACAATACCCTCTCAGGATCAATTTGTTCTCTGCATCCATGAATCTGTCTCTGTTTTGTTTGTTCATTTATTTTGTGCTTTGTATTCCACATAGAAGTGAAGTCTTATATGGTATTTGTCTTTGTCTTATTTGACTCAGCGCAATACCCTTTGGATCCATCCATGTTGCAATAGTAAGATTTCATCCTTTTTTATGGCTGAGTCATATTCATATAACATCTTTATCCAGTTGTCTACTGATAGGCACTTAGATTGCTTGCATATCTTGGCTATTGTAAACAATGCTGCAATAAACATAGGGGTGCATATATCCTTTTGAAACAGTGTTTTGGATTTCTTCAGATAAATATCCAGAAGTGGAATTGCTGAGTCATAAGGTAATTCTATTTTTAATTTTTTGAGGACCCCCCATGCTGTTTTCCACAGTGGCTGCACCAATTTGCAAGCTCACCAACAAGGCATGAGCGTTCCCTTTACTCCAAATCCTCACTAACAAAATACCACGTGCGGGCGCACATGTACAGTGCAATTGAAACTTCGTGACCCATGCGCAGAAGTCAGTATTTTGTGGGAGAGTCGGTATTTTGTGGAAGAGCCACACTCAAGGGGCCAAAGAGCCGCATGTGGCTCGCGAGCCGCGATTTGCCAAGCCGCAGTTTGCCGACCACTGGCCTATGTTTATTTTTTCTTTGAGGAGTTTTATGGTTTCCAGTGTTACATTTAAATCTTTAATCCATTTTCAGTTTATTTTTGTATATAGTGTAAGAAGGTAGTCTAGTTTCATTTTTTTGCATGTATTTGTCCAATTTTCCCAACACTATTTATTGAATAGACTGTCTTTATTCCATTGTATGTTCTTGCCTCCTTTGCATTGACCATATTAATTGACCATATAGGTGTGGGTTCATTTCTGGGCTCTCTAATCTATATGTCTGTTTTTATACCAGTACCATGCTGTTTTGATGACTGTAGCCTTGAGGTATAGTTTGATAACAGGTAGCATGGTACCTCCAATTTTGTTCTTTCTCAATATTGCTGTGGCTGTTTGGGGTCTTTTGTGGATCCATATAAATTTTAGGATTATTTGTTTGAGTTCTGTGAAACATACCATTGATATCTTGATAGGAATTGCACTTAATCTATAGATTGCTTTGGGTAGTATAGACATTTTACCAATGTCAATTTTTCCTATCCATGAGCCCAATATAAGCTTTTATTTATTTGTATTTTCTTCGATTTCTTTCCTCAATGTCTTAAAATTTTCTGACTATGGGTCTTTTACCTCCTTGGTTAAATTTAATCCTAGATTTTTTTTATACAATTGTAAATAGGATTGTTTTTTTAATTTCTCTTTCTGATAGTTTGTTATTGGTGTGTAAAAATGGAACCAATTTTGGATTATTACTTTGTATTCTGCTACTTTACTGAATTCATTATCAGTTTTAATAGGTTTTTGGTGGAATCTTTAGGCTTTTTTCTATATAGTGTCATGTCATCTGCAAATAATGACCATTTTACTTCTTCCTTTCCAATTTAGATGCTCTTTATTTCTTTTCCTTGTCTGATTGCTGTGGCTAGGACTTTTAATACTATGTTGAATAAAAGTGGTGAAAGTGAATATTCTTGTCTTGTTCCTGACCTTAAGGGCAACGCTTTTAGCTCTTCACCATTAAAGTATGGTGTCATATAGCCTTTATTATGTTGAGGTATGTTCTCTCTATTCCCACTTTGCTGAGAGCTTTATAGGGTTTTGTTTTGTTTTGAAGAGTTTGAATAAGCCAATGTATGTGAAAAGGAATCTGGTAATATTATAAATTGTACTAGAGGCCTGGGGCACGAAAGGTCGTGCACTGGAGAGGGGTTCTCAGCCCGGCCTGAACCCTCTTGCAGTCCAGGACCCTCAGGGGATGTCTGAATGCCGGCTTGTGGCTGGATGGCCTTCTGCTGCTGCACAGCCTGCTGCTTGAACTTCAGCAGCTGCTGCACGTGCATGGGCTGAGCCACCACAATCTGTCCTGTGAACACCATCGAGTGGGTGAGTCAAGCACGAAGGCAGGCTCACCCTGAGTTCCCTGCACTTCCCTGAGTCACTGAGTTGTTCAGACTGACTGCCTTTTACAGAGAATGGCACTGGGATCAGGCCTAAGCCGGCAGTCGACAGCCCTCTCACAATCTGGGACCCCTTGGGGGATGTAACAGTGCGCCAAGTGGCAGGCGGCCAGGGAGGAGCCCGAATTGGGGCTGGGCGCCTCGCTGCTCACGCTCATCCCGGCCTGTTGCGCCTGCTGTTGCCACTTGGTAGTGCTGCCATGGAGTCGGGAGAGGCTCCCACCGTGGCAGCTGCACTCACCAGCTGTGAGCCCGGCTTCTGGCTGGAGGCGCTCCCACTGTGGGAGCACACTGACCACCAGGGGGCAACTTCTGCAATGAACGTCTGCCCCCTGGTGGTCAGTGCACATCATAGTGACCGATTGTTCCAGTTGTTCCGCTTAGGCTTTTATATATATGGCCGCTTAGGCTTTTGTATATGTAGATACTCTGTAAAAAGTGAAGTACAAGTTTGATTTGGCTATCTGTTCAGTTGTTCATTCATTCACATATTGTTTAAGTCTCAGGTACAAATGAAAGAATGAAGCCTTGCTTTGGAAATTCACTCTAGGAAGAGCTAGGAAGCCAGGACTGTGTGACAATTTTTCCTCGGCCCTCCTGTTCAACTCCTCCCTGAAGTCAGCTTTCAAAACCTGAAAAATAAACACAGCTGGAGTGGAATACATGAAGTCCTACAGAGTAATAGTGAGGTGCCCAGAGAGCAAATAGCTTGTTGGACTGGAAGCCTTTATAAATTTAAGGGCAAGATTTGCAGTGGACAAGCTGCAGATTGCTGTTCTGACCTCCTTCCCAGAAGTGACTGCCTGGACCTCACTATGGACTAGGAGATTCTTGTGGGCTGGGCTTTGTCTCCCTGAATTTGAATCCCATTGTCTAGCACCATTCTTGCTCACAGTAAGTCCTTATGGGGTAGAGCCAACTTAGCTGCAATGATGAGATTCTTGGTTTTGGACTTGCAGGTTGGAGCCCTCCCTCGACTGTGCGATGTGCTGCGGGTGCTGCGGGAGGAGCGGGACCAGTGCCTGCAAGAACTCTCTGGAGAGAGGACAGGAGACCGTGGCACGGTGCCGCCAGCCCCAGGTGCGTAGCCCACCTTAGTCCACTCCTGACATGAATCGTGTCCAGTTCCACTGTGTCAGGGGAAGCTGGGCCTCTGGACCAGGATGGGGATGTAGGGGCTGGGCCAGCTGTATTCAATCAGGTAATCAGCTCGTGATCAGTGTATGCACATCCAAAAGCCAGATTACCACCATTCTTTCTTTCTCTGGGCTTGTGCACACAGCCAAGGTTTTTGTACCATTAACGTCTGCGTGATAACTTCACCAAGTTTGGTAAGAATTCCTTGTCAAGGCATGTACCTCTCGTCCATTCTCTCACTTCCAGTGCTAGTTTGATGAGTAAGGTAGTCAGAATGGCAGGGTTGGGTCAGAAAACCCTGGGGTCTCTAGTGTGCGACCATGGACAAATTATTTAACCATCTGGGCCACAGATCCCTGGTCTATAAAGTGGTTGTCTACTTCAGAATTATAACGATACACGAGAGAAAATATGTTAAATTTATCAATTTAAATATTAATTCTTATTACTAATCAAGACTTTAAATATTATTAATTTGATATTTAAATGTTAATTTTATTTCCAGTCCCTTCCTTAACATATCTTCTTTGCTTTCCCTCATCTAAGGACAAGGAAGGGTTGCATTAAGAAAACAATCCATTACAGGTATTCAAATAAAAACTTGTACACAAGTGTTCATAGTAACACTAGCCTAGAGATAGAAACAACCCAAGTGTCTGTCAGCTGATGAATGATAAACAAAATGCGTGTATGTCCAATGGAATATTATTGGGTCTTAAAAAGGAATGAAGTACTGATACATACTATGGCATGGATGAATATTAAAACATGTTAAGAAGCCAGTTATAAAAGATCATGTATTATATGTTTCTATTTTTATGATATGTCAACTTTAGGTAAATCTTTAGAGACAGAAATCATACTTACATTTAAGTATTTAATCCATTTCAAGTTTATTCTTGTGTCTGATGTAAGTTGGTAGTCTAGTTTCATTTTTTTGCATGTACCTGTCTAATTTTCCCAACATCATTTATTGAAGAGATTGTCTTTATTCCATTGTATGCTCCTGCCTCCTTTGTCAAATATTCATTGACCATAAAGGTATGAGTTTATTTCTGGGCTCTCTGTTCTGTTCCATTGATTTATATGCCTGCTCTTGTGTCAATACCAGGCTGTTTTGATTATAGTGGCTTTGTAGTATAGTTTGACATCTGGTATTGTGATTCCTCCAACTTTGTTCTTCTTTCTCAAGATTGTTGAGGCTATTTGGGGTCTTTTTTGATTCCATATAATATTTTTTCTAGATCTGTGAGATATTCCATTGGTATTTTAATAGGAATTTCACTGAATCTATAGATTGATTTGGGTAATATGGGCATTTTAATGATGTCAATTCTTCCAATCCATGAATACAGTATATGTCTCCACATATTTGTATCATCCTCAGTTTCTTTCCTCAATATCTTATAATTTTCCAAGTATAGGTCTTTTACCTCCTTGGTCAAATTTACAAGTATTCCTAGGTACTTTATTCTTTGTTATTGTTGCAATACTAAATAGAATTATTTCTTAATTTCTCTTTCTGATAGTTCATTATTGGTGTATAAAAATGCCACCAATTTCTGAATATTAATTTTTTATCCTGCTACTATGGCAAATTCATTTATTAGACCTAGGAATTTTTAGGAGTTTCTATGTACAATATCATGTTATCTGTGAATAATGACAGTTTTACTTCCTCCTTTCCAACATAGTACTTCCAGTACCATGTTGAATAAGAGTGGTGAAAGAGGACATCCCTGTCTTGTCCTGATCTTAAGGGGAATGCTTTTAGATTTTGCCCATTGAGTATGATGTTGGCTGTGGGTTTGTCATATATGGAGTTTATTATGTTGAGGTATGATCCCTCTATCCCTACATTGCTGAGAGTTTTTATCATAAACGGGTTTTAATTAGATGCTTTTTTTGCATCTATTGACAACATCATGTGATTTTAATTTTTAATTTTGTTTATGTGATGTATCATGTTTATTGATTTGCAAATATTGCACCAACCTGGCATTTCTGGAATAAATCCCACTTGATCATGTTGTATGTTCTTTTTAATGTATTGCTGGATCTGCTTTGCTAATATTTTGTTGAAGATTTTAGCATCTATGTTCATTAGGGATGTTGGTCTAAACTTTCCTTTCTATTTAAGTCCATTGCCCATTTTTAAATAGGGTTGTTCAGTTTTTTGTTGAGTTGTAGGAGTTCTTTATATATTCTGGATATTAGCCCCTTGTAAAATATATGATTCTCATATTGTGTAGATTGCCTTTTTACTGTGTTGAGTGTGTCCTTTGATTCACAGAAGTTTTTAAGTTTGCCATAGTCCCATGTATCTGTTTTTACTTTCATTGTCTGTTCTTTTGGTGGTGTCATATCCAAGAAAGCATTGCCACATCCAAGCTCATTAAGATTTCCTCCTATGTTTTCTTTTAAGAATTTTGTAGTTTTTGCTCTTATAGGTTCTTGGTCCATGTTGAGTTCATTTTTGTATATGGTGTGAGGTAAGAGTCCAACTTCATCCTTTTGCAAGTGGATATCTAGTTTTTCCAGCACCATTTATTGAAAGACTATACTTTTCCATGGAAGAGTCTTGGCAAATCTGTCAAAATTCACTTGACCATATATGTGAGGGTCTATTTCTTGGCCTTATTTTCTATTCCATAGGTCTTCATGTCTCCCTTCATGCCAATACCACACTAATTTGAATACTGTGGCTTTAGTAAGTTTTGAAATCAGGAAATGTGCGATTTCAACTTTGTTATTTTTTTTTCAAGATTGTTTTGGCTATTTCCAGGTCCTTTGAAATTCCATAAAAATTTTAGGGTGGATTTTTCTATTTCTGTAAATAATATTAAATAAATACTAAATGAATAAATATTAAGTAAAATATTTCTTTCACTGGGATTTTGATAGAGATTGCTAAATCTGTCAATCACTTTGGGTAGTATTGACATATCTAGCAATATTCAATCATCAAATCCATAAGCCCAGATATCTTTACATTTATTGCATCTTCTTTAATTTCTTTCAGCAACATTTTATAATATTCACACGGGTTAGTTTATTCCTAAGTATTTTATTCTTTTGGAAACTATTATAAGTTGGATTTGTTGCATTTTTAAAATGTTGTTTCACACTGCTTTACTTAGGGGGTTCTGTTTTCACTCCTCAATAGATTTTATGTATTTCTCATGCTTCTTCATGCATTGGCTCATCTGGTTCTGAAAAGTTATTCAGTGTCATCTTGATCAGCCAACCATCTTCCTAACAAGATTTGTTGAAAAGCCCAAGATTTTCTGCACGAGCTTCATTCATTTCAGTTACTTCTGATAAAGGAGAATAGAGTTCACTAGCAGCTTTCACACTTTCCAAAGCACCAAACTCATCTTGTTTGTTCAATTATGTCCCAATTTTAGGCAGACTTCAGGAAACATTTCCCAAAGCTTCCTGTGCAAAAATTGCTGATTCCCACTGTTCCAGGACTATTTTCTGTTGTTATCCATTCATGTTTCTCTGTGAATTTACCCACATAGAGCCGACTGGGGCCGGTGGACAGCATCCAGATGGTGCTCGCCCTCAGGCCCCAGGGCTGGGGGGCAGGAGCAGTGGGCGCTGCCTAGGCGGTGTGCAGGCTGCAGACCACCACCTGCACACTCCGCACTGCTTGCAGCTCTTTGTTTGCTGGAGTGTGGGGGTCACTGCACAACTCCTTGGCCACCCCAGCCATTGGGGGTGGAGGTGAGTTGGCTCCTTGAATCTGTTTTTTAATTTCCTTTTCAGGTTGTTTCTCATTAGTGTATAGAAATGCAACTGATTTTTGTATGTTGATTTGATATCTATCCTGCAACTTTGCTGAATCCATGTATTAGTTCTAACAGTTTCTTTTGTAGAATATTGAGGGTTTTCTACATATAAGATCATATCATCTGCAAACAGAGGTAATTTTACTTCTTTCCTTCCAATTCAGATGCCTTTTATTTCTTCTTCTTGCCTAATTGCTATATCTAGTACTTCCAGTACTTCCAGAAAACAAGTGCCCAAAGCAGGCATTCTTGTCTTGTTCCTGGTCTTACAGGAAAAGCTTTCAGTCTTTTACCCCTGAGTATGATGTTTGCTCTGGGCTTTTCATATGTGGCCTATTCCTAGCTTAAGTTTTGTTTGTTTTTTATTTTTATCATGAAAAGGTATTGAATCTTGTCAAATGCTTTCTCTGCATCTGAGATGATCATGTGATTTTTGTCTTTCATTTTGTTAATATGGTGCATTACATTGAATGATTTTCATATGCTGAATCACTCTTACATTGCAGGAATACTTTTCAATTCAATTCAGTTTTCTAGTATTTTGTTGAGGATTTTTGTATCAATGTTTATCAGTGATATTAGTCTGTAGTTTTCTTTTCTTGTAGACTCTGTGTGGCTTTGGTATAGAGTAATGCTGATCGCATAGAGTGATTCTGAGAGTGTTTTCTCCTTTTCAGTTTTTTGTAAGAGTTTGAGGAGGATTAGTGCTGCTAATTCTTATTTAAATGCTTGGTAGAGTTCATTAGTGAAGTCATCTGGGCTTTTCTTTGTTGGAAGATTTTTGTTGTTATAGATTCAACTTCCTTGCTGATTAGCAGTCTGCTCAAATTTTCTATTTGTTCATGCTTCCATCTTGGTAAATTGTGTGTTTCTAGGAATTTATCTATTTCATCTAGGTTGTCCAGTTTGTTGGTATATAGGCGACACATATCTTTTTGCAATACTCTTCTCTCCAAGTCATGACCTTTGTTCTTCAAATTCTTGAGCTGTTGGTTGTCGGGTTTCCCATTGTCCACCACGGCCAGTCTCATGACTCCTTCCCTGGCTCCAACCATGGCACTGTGTCAACACTTCCAAGAACTTGGTCACTATGACCACTGTGCCACTGTGCCTTCCTCCTTTCACCTGCCTCTGCAGAGCCTTGTCCTC